GAAGGATACAACACTGCTTTCCTCGATATTTGTGGGTGGAAACAACCAGAGTACCCTTTCTGACAAAGATGAACCATTACTTTATTTATCACTGGTTAGCTCCCATAAAGGAGGAAACACACAACCGTACGGTGCCGAGACTCCGTATCCAGATCGGCTTGCCAAAAAAACCTTACCCAAATCGCCCCCCAAGCGGACCGGTCCAAACTGGTACCAAACTTGGGAGGGTAAAGACATCGTCTACTACTGCGCCCGACCTTCGTCAGTCAACCTATGGGCGAGATTGCATTCTTCTTACCACTGCGACTCTGTGATGCAGTAAACTACGTCGCGCAAAAACGACTGATCAGTGTTCAAAGCTTTACCCTTGACCTCTGTCTTTCATTAGAATAGCAGGTCAGCAAATGCTCGCAATGAAAATTCTCTGGATGACACAACCATCCCCAGACAAATCCAGCGCCATAGCGCGGAAGAGCTGCTTAGTTATGCACCTTAATTATAGCACTGGACGATACACAGCTTTTCGAGAAGGCACGCATGACTTAGCAATACCAAAGAAACCCTTCATAAACAATGGGAAATACTAGCAGTTAAACAAAAACGTACTTTGCAATTAATTTGAAATCGGCTCTTTGCTCACGTCCAATTTCAACAGCTTTTTTGCATACTTCTATACAATCGTCATATTTGTGCTCTTCGAAGTAGGCGGCTGAAATGATGCCATAACGCAAATATTACTTGAACGAGACCGCAAAAAAAACCATAGTATAAATACCACATCGGTGTTACGGGGCACGCTGACCAACTCACAAAAAAAACCACTCACCTGCTTTATTAGTATAAAAAGTAATGTTAGATGGATCGAGTTCGATGGCTTTATCATAGTGCTTGTGAGCCTCCTCGAAATTCTTCAACTTATATGCTGCATTTCCTAGATTCTTTTCGTTCACAGCCTGTAACAAAAACATTTTCAAAAATTTCGATTCTGTGTTGCCCGAAGCCACACAAGAAAGGGCCATCGGAATATTGCGCAACATGGAAAGGATTCCGAAACCTATTCAAATAGACTAGGTTTGAGCTTTTTCTCAAAACACTCGAGGTTTTTTCATGATTTCCTGCTCCTTTATACTTTGGAGCCTAGTCTTCGGCCGCTGTATAGCATTTAGGGTGTGTCCATAGTTTTTAGCAGCGTTTTGGGCGTCTTTCAGCAGCGTTCTGAGCGACGGGAGAAAGGTATAGGTATTAATCCAGCGTTTTGAGCCGCCAACGGTACCTACTTTCTTGGTAGCTCAAAACGCCCAACACGCTGACGCAAAGTATGAACGCGCTCTTAGATCACATCTTCAGCCAGATCAACAAACTTGGAAACTACCTAGGACTTAAACATGATTAAGAAAAACAGGACAAACAATCTTACCTCTTCTTGAGGGTTCGTCATGCTTATGGTAGAAGATCAGCACCGGCAATACCTGAAAGAGCACTTTAACATCGGAAGCTTTTCCAGCCATGCAAAATTGAGCTCGGCACTCGGTAGTATAGCCAGATATAGCTACACGATGAAGAGTACAGATGGAGAGCTTGCGTTTTCTTTATAGACAAAGCGTCAACTTCACTGGAGACTCTTTTTTCTACGGTGCTTCTGAAGAACTGTAAACGAAACGAAGGGGAACAAAGTGGAACGCAGGGAACCTGAACCGCCAGAAGCTGTCATGTCACTAGATCCTACCAGTGCTTTGTAAGCGGAGGAAAAGACAGGAAGAGGAAGCAGGAAAATGAAGGTAACGAAATAAGAAGAAGACAAGAAAGAAGGAAGGGAGGAGGAGGAGGAGGGAGGAGCGCTGAGGCAGGAGTGGAGGAGATGAGGGATAGAGGATGAGGATGAGGATTGAGGAGGAAGGAGTGAGGAGAAAGAAGAACGAGAGAGGAGGTGGAGGAGTTAAGGCTGAGGATGAGGTGAGGATAAGGAGGGAGGAGGAGGATGAGGATCGAGGTGAGGAGTGAGGCTTTCGAAACAAGAAAATGGGCGTCTGACAGTGTATAAGGGGAGGGGTGCACAGTAAAAGTGCGTTGTATCAACTTCGCGTCAGACGGCGAGCGACTTAAGAACGTATAGGTATCGATTATCGTTCAACACGCTGGTGGGGCCCAAAATGCTTGATCGACTTTCATACTTTCCCAGCCGCTGGGAAACGCTCAAATGCTCATAACGCATTTAAAGTATGAACGCGCTCTAGTTTCGTTCTGAGAGGTCCACAGATAGCGAACATGGAGTCGTGATCATCGTCCGAAGACACAATAGAAGTACACAGCCCATTTCAAATGGCCACTTCAATTTACTATTTTTCCCTTGCTCCAAGGGAAGAAGCCTGGGTGACTGAACTGATTTCCTTGGGCAAAAAATTATTTTCCAGTGACGTGAACAGTGTTCTCACTCCTCTGAAGGCATTGTGGGACTTCACAAAACTTCATGGAATAGTCTGGTATATCAAATTAGCGTATTGCAGGCAAACCTACGATCATACATAATGCTATTCTGAACAATACCACAGAAAAATTGGCTCCAATTGATTTTCGATTTTCATAAAGATCTTGCGCAAGAGATAAGACTCCTTGAACTTAAACATAGCAAATACGCCATATTACAAGAGAATAAAAATTCTGAGCAAGCGAACAGAGCGAGAACCAGTTTAGGGAAAGGCGAAGGAGACCTAATTAACGGCACCCATGGGTGAAATGTATCGTTCTTAGAGAGTTTTATGCCAGTTCAGCATTAAAAATTTCAGAATCAAGGGATTAGGGGAAAAGTTCAGACAAGTGAATGGTCAAATTAAACATGAAAGGTACACAAGAAAGCGATGGTCACCACGGCACAGGGTTGAAAGATGAGCTGACCAGCTCCCGAACGTTCCATCGACAATGCGCTCCAGCGGGCAAACGCGCGCCATGGAGAATATTCTAGAACGATTCGTCTCGCAACGTGACTCCGTGCGATTTTGCACTTTCCCTATGGACCTCCCGTAACCCGGGAACAACGCCTTGACTCTCCCGAGTGGGAGTAATTCCTTAGCGCTTTAGTGCGGATAAATGGATGGGATGAACCAAATGTTCCTTTGTGCCGCTTTAACCCACCCACCAGTGTATACTGGCAAATGGCTCTCTGGGTATGTGCCGTTTAGCGCGATCGCACTTCCCCTTGACTTGTTATGGCCTGTCGAGCGGCTCGTACTTCAAGCAGGACAACTCGTCCAAACAAGTGAAGCACTGGATTTTCCTGACTGATCAGGAGTCCGTCTGGATGAGTACCGTGAAGCAGACGCTAACGTAGTTGGGGGGGGGGGGGTGAGGAGAACGCTCGCTAGCGTCTGCGTATCCTGCCACCTGAGCAAGGCGTTTGGACTTTAGTGCGAGTTCTATGCCAATCTCTGCGGGACTATTACTTCGACGCACTTGGACGCTTCGCTCTAAGCCCAACTTTCTTATGGGAAGGGATACTGAGTGTGGCTGAGAGTGGTAAGTTCTCCCACCCCCCCCCTCCTTCCTTCCCATTAACTAGGTCAGCGAAGGGAACACAACGCTGTCGACTTTATGCAGGCCGGGAACTACGAAAATCCGGCGGGGAAGGATCCGGCACGAGCTCATCTCTCTTGATGGCAGGACTGCTTGAACACGCCTCTCTGGTCTGTGCCATTTTTGCGTTCTCGACTGCTTTCCCTTGCCCGTACCCATTCAATGTACTAGTCTCGTGCATTCGGGGTTCCCTCACAAAGAGTAACCGCTCTCCTACTCTGAAAAACCGCATTCCCTATCCATTACGTTGCTTTGCACGACCAGAGAGTCGCTGTCCTTTATCCCTCTACTTAAGACCATGGCAAAGTGTTCACCCTTTGTACAGTCATGATCCCAGCAAAGGATAGGGGCGTTACGGGAAAAGGATTGGAGAGCAGCAGAGCGAGCCTTTTACACACGAAATGATGCCATCGTGGGTCTTTTAGGCAATTAGTGAGAAAGGCTTTGCCTGGCAGCCGCTTTGAAGCCACGCGCCTCTCGCTCTGCATTATTGATCATGGACTGTAACATGCGTGATTGATGACCGTTTAAAAGTGCCCTCGTACTGACCTGAATCTACCAAGAGCTGCAGGTATCCAAAGTCTCATCCTACCCAGTGTCCTTTCAGCATCCAGGAATGATTCAATAATGATTCGAAAAAGGAGAACAGTGTGTTAAAAAGTTGTATGACTGGTCTTTTTTCCTATCCTATTGCTTTATCAAGGCGAGGGGGGGGGGGGCAGAAGACAGCTGATGTCTTCTCGCAGAGGTACCTTATGGAGGATTTGAGACACATTTTGCGATTACTTGAAAGGTGGGCTCTTTGAGTTAACGTGCTCGAGGGCAGAGGAGACACCCACTACCTTTCTTCTTTTGGAATTAGAGCGAAGACCGTCACAGCCGCCGCGGGTTACCCTTGCAAACAGTCTGACCTCTGCCGCTTTAGGCCAGAACCCTTGGTTGGGGGAAGAGAGGCAGAGGAGTTGCGGAATGGTTCCCCTCCTCCCGAATAGCGACGGTCCTTTCCGGTCACACGATTAGGACATGCAAGCCGATTCACAGAAGAAGCCACCTTTACTCGTTGAAAATGCACGCCAAGACAGTCCACAGTTAGCTGGGACCTTCCTCACGTTTAAGGCTCCGCCCACCATTTCGATACGCCATTGCAAACAATGCCCCAACTGCTCACTTGCGCCCTATCAAAAGGGGGGGACGCTGCGGGCAATCACTGGTGCAATTGCGGGTCCAGCCGTTCTCAAGTTGTCCCGTTTGCATTGCTCATGCGGGCAGCCTTTTTTCAAAGATGAGTTGACATATGCACGATGGGATTCGATGCTTATCGACAAATGACGAAAAAAAATTATGAACATTAATGGCAGGCTGCTATGCAAAACTTCTTCAACGATACATCTGATACATACAACTGAACGGTAATTAACTAAACGATTTATGTATGTGTTATATCACCAGATCTTTCACAGCAGAATGAGTTTATCCCAGTATGAATCATTGGAATTCTTCATTGAAATTCCCGTCTTCTATGATAATTTCCTCTTCGTGAGCATTATTGTCGCCGTCATGAGGTGCGCTACCTACCCATACCTAGGAAGGATACATCATAGAAATTCTTATGAAAATGATAGCGCAAGTAAAAAAAAGGAAATACCTGTTGACTGAGCTTTCTTTTGAAGTTGAGGGAGACACATGCTTATCCGCTCGAGCCTATCCATGAAAGCTTCAAATCGATCTAATAGACTAGCCTGTCGCTCCTGGAATATTATGGCAATGAGAAGTGACTACGGGCATGTTCCTACTTTTTCGCGCGATCCAAGCAATCGGATAGCGAAGTATGTGGGCACTCCAACGTTAAAAGATTTCGTGCAGACATTTGTGCAGCCAGGGCAAAGCTTACCTGCAGCTCATATTCTGTTCTATACATAATTGAATGATAACCACTCGCGGGAATCTCTCGTCTTTCGGCGTTGATCCTGAGGAAGCGTTTTCGCAAGAAGATATGGTGTGTTGTACGATCTAGGATTGATTGCCATCATCGTAGGGCTTGTGACTAAGTAAGGTGCATTGTTCTTACCTGTGAAGCATGTCTGACTTGATCCTGACGGGTATTGCACTTCCAGACGAGGTCTTTCAACAGCTTCAGGAACTCTTACCTCAAAGTAACTCGTTTATCGATGCGGCCTGACGGACGGGCCAAAAGTACAGACGGTACAATGGGCTCAGACCGTGGTCCAGCTGTCCGCCGGACCTGTGAATTCAACATGGACTAGGAACAAAAAAGAAAGGGAGTGGAGCGATTTTACCCGCCGAGACTAGCATGAACCAAAGGAAAGGAAGGTGACGATGAACTAAACAGGGGAAAGAGGAGGTAAAGTAAGCAGGAGTGTGACACTGCTCGCTGCTGGTACTGGGGCGATCAGAAGGGCTTGGTTTGGCGCCCGCCAAATTCTCCACCAGTTAATGACGCTGGCAGGCGACCGTAATCGGTGGAGAATACGCTGGGTCAAATTCATCAGGGTCAAATTCATCCAGCCTTGACACGCCCCATTATCCGCAGCGAACAAGACTGCACATCAGTCGGCAATCGTGTTCTTACGCGCCTCTAATAAGGATCAAAAGGATCCTATTGGATCACCCAGATACGAGGACAAGAGTGTACGAATCGCTTTTTGTGGACACGGGAGACTATATGTAAACCGCGCGCCCAACTCTCCGTAACTAAGAAGCGAAAGAAAATGCAAAGATGCCTTGACAAGATTGGAGAATTGAACAGCGATATCATCTAGCACTTACCCTTCTCTGTGGTCCAACTTCAAAGTACTCAGGCTCTCCTTTCCAGTAATAAGTGAGAACAGCTAATGTTAAACAGGGTTCATATATCCTGCAAACAGCTTTCTCTTTGGAAAAGTGCACAACGTCATAAAAACAATTTTAAGACCTGTAATATTACCTTGAATTTGATGGACTTCTACCGATATAAATCTTACGCACAAATCTTCCATTGACCAGTGGATGCTCGTATCTCTTGGATAAAATCTGTAAAGTCATTTATACGAGATAAGCAAAACAAAATAGCTGATAAATTTTTTACCTTTACCCAAATTGATTTTCTTACACCCCTTTTAGGAACCACAGCTCATTTTGGCGCTAAAACTTTAGAACTGGCATTTGAGGGACCTTTCAAAACTGGGCTTAACCTCATCCGAGTAGATTTGCGGTACGTGGGATTGATTAGCCCACCCATCGGAGCTCATCAAAAAACTAACAGATTACCGTATCACTGCGAAGGCTTAAAAACAACAAGATAGACTACTAGCCAACCTGCACATCATACTCGGCTCCTTCTATTAATTTGCAAGCACGGTCAACTCTCACAGCGTCACCCGTATCGGGATCGATTTTGTAGTACCTAAACATGAGGAAATAATTATATAACAATGGGTATTATTTTACCGAATAGAAAGAACCTCGAATTCCCGGCTGGTTTCCCCCAACTTCCATTGTCATCTCTTCTAAGTTCAGCGTCGGAGGCAAAGTTACACAAATCAATCACAAATGTACCACACTCTCGATACCCTTGTGGGACTTTATGACATATTCTGAAACATGATATTACATATTTACGCCTTAACAAAGCGACCTTCATCAGCAGAAATCTGGCACCATTCAAACAATCGGCAGCTCAAGGGGAAGGAAGAAATATGCGGAGCTGATAACAGCAGTTCCTGCAGACGGCTATCCTCCACCAGAAGTTATGCCAGACTCGAGCAAAAAAGTAGTGAAAATTCACTCACTTTGATGGTTCAACTACAGTTCCACCAAGAACAATAGCAGCTACAGCATTGAAATCAATAGCTCCCGCAGCATACAAGGGGCAGTCATCAAAATACGCAGAACAAGTAGCCGGGAGTGCGGCCATAACGCCGTTTTGCTAAAATGTCCATACAAATGTTTAAATGGAAAAAATAACGGAGCTGACTTACAAAAGAAGCTGCTTGCCAATCTTTCGAACCAGGCGGCGGATGAGGACCACCTAAACCACCACGTCGACTCCTTGAAGGCACCTTGGCTAAAAATTAAGTAATAACAAGCAGTTGTGTGATGAATTAGCACTTCAACGTTATATATTGTAAGCCGTGACGAAAAAACAAAATCAACGTACGTGTGAACTGGAAATTAAACGGCTTTCCAAACCATTCATACGTTACCACGATCAACGAAACGACTCCCTTTCGCTCAGGAGGATAGAGGGCCGTATAAACCTGCATGGTGTACATTTTGTAAGGAAATCAGGCACACTGAACTAGAATGATAGCAGAAACCCATAAGAGTTCGTTCATACTTCGTGATCCGATAGCGCGATTGAAGCGGTTTGATCGCGAAGTACGAACATGCTTAAGATACAGTCATATCTTACCTTCTTAACGAAACGGTTCTGCCCTCTATTCACACAAACAGTCATAGGATGCTCGTATCGCCGCATCATACACTTCCATACATACTTTGCATTAGGGAGCAGGTTACCCTTGCCATCATCCATTCTTGTGAAAGGGCCACAATTAGAGTGACCATAATAACGGTTCTTCCCTGCTGGTTTACCTGAAATCGAGCTATGAACACAGAAAGCGTTGACCATAATTCACTTTTACTTACCCCACATTCCTAAGCCGTCGTTGTTAAATTCAGTTCGATCGAGATTCCCGCAATTTATAACAAATGTACCTTCTCCGCGATATTCTTGAGGTACTGAATTGCATATTTTGCTCTCCTGCACGTCTATAGCACCCATAAGAATGTGGGCTGCTTCCTGCAGAAATAAAGATTATACCCTATTTTCTAAGATATGAGGCGCACTCATTTACACTCGAAATCCCTGAGATGCGGTGGACGTGGCTACGTACTTCAACTGAACGTGGTGGTAGTTCTGCTTCTGGAGAGGTACTGTCAACACAGAACGATGACAGTTGTCCCGAACTGAAATAACGGGAAACCCACTTCACGTCATGTTCAAATGCCACGCCTACTCCGACTCAGGGATAAAGAATGTACAGGTACAATGTACTGTCGCAGAGCCACAAGGGAATGTCTCTAATCATGCTTTGTTTGCATGCTGTAGTTTCCAATTAGTTTCAAAATGATTTTCATTCAATGTGCTCGTG